GCCAGCTATGGGGAGGGGCCTTCTCTCAGGGGGAGGGGCCAGTGAGTAAGGGCGGAACATGGGCTGTGGGAGGGGCGATGACAGCTATGGGGAGGAGCCTTCTCAGGGGGAGGGGCCAATGAGTAAGGGCGGAGCATGGGCTGTGGGGGGGCGATGCCAGCTATGGGGAGGGGCCTTCTCTCAGGGGGAGGGGCCAGTGAGTAAAGGCGGAGCATGGGCTGTGGGAGGGGCGATGCCAGCTATGGGGAGGAGCCTTCTCAGGGGGAGGGGCCAGTGAGTAAGGGCGGAGCATGGGCTGTGGGAGGGGCGATGCCAGCTATGGGGAGGAGCCTTCTCTCTGGGGCGGGGCTGTGGGGAGAGGGGCATCCAGGCTCTGGGGAGGCGTGATGCTTTGGGAAGTATGAGATATAAAGACCTTTCCCTAGAGGGACAGTGACAGTAACGAAGGAGACTAATGAAGGGTGAGAGGGATGTTGAGGGGCTGAGCCTTTGTAAAAGAGGTGTGGGTTGGGACTGTGAGAGGTTGGGTCAGCCTCTCAGGGTCTCAGGCCCTTTCTGGGAAAGGGTGGAACTAGGACTATGGTAAGGGGCGGGGCTTTTTGGGAGGGGTGGGGCCAGCCCTTCTGGGGCGGAGCCTGCTCAGAAAAGAGGCGGGTTCCAGTGCCAGAGGAACCCTTCCTAGGAGGCTCAGGATTTTGGGGAGGCCAGGGTCTAGTCCCAAGGAGGAGCGATCCTGAGGGTGGCCTTATGTTGCCCTCTGCATGGTCAGGTCTGCAAGACCCGGTCCTCCAAGCGCATCTCCAAGCTGGCCTACCACCGGGGCGTGGTCATCGTCACTTGTCCTGGCTGCCAAAACCACCACATCATCGCGGACAATCTGGGCTGGTTTTCTGACCTGGACGGGAAGAGGTGAGGTGGTGGGGGTGCGGTGGTGGTTTGGAGGTCCAGTGTCTGGAGCCGCACCCAGCCTGGCTGGGCTTGGGGCGCACTCCCCTCTGGAATTTCATCTGTCCCCTTTAGCAACCCAGCTCCCTGACCCTGCTGGGGTCAACAGAGTGTGTGCTCACCTGTCCCTAATCCAAGAACTGCAGGTGAGAGTGTCCAGGTTGAGTCACTTTCATGGGCTGGTCCACTATGAGGCCAGCCCCATAGACCCGCCTGCCCTCTGACGCCCTTGCAGGCAAGACCAGACCATGACTCCATGAATTCTGGCCCAGTGCTCCAGGTCACCAGAGTTAAGGGTAGGGGCTCTGGTGGTGACCACACCAGGTTTTGGGAGTACGAGATATCTAGTCATGCTTTTCTGGGCGTGCAGAACATTGGAGGCAGCTGAGCTTCCACGTCACCTGGGAGTGGGCCGTGGCCAAGGCTGTCGTCCACCAGGCCTTGCACTCCGGCATCACAGCTCTTGAAGGCCCCCGGAGTGGACTTCCCTGTCTTGCTGTCTGTGTGTACCCCAGTGTGGCTGTGTTGAGTGCACCTTCCTTCTTTGGGTGCCTAAAGTGGCTCCTGAGGACAGGACTCTACCAGGGGCTGGTGAAGCTCTGGCCAGTGACCCATGTGGCCTCACTTCTCACCACAAGTGAGGACCCAGGTAACAGTGCTTGTTTCTCAGGAATGTCGAAGAAATCCTGGCTGCCCGCGGGGAGCCTGTGCGCCGTGTGGCTAGCGAGGGGACCGTGGAGTTGGTCTTGGAGGCTGCGGCGCTGCAGGCCCCTGTTGCCCTGGAAGGGAGCGAGGACGAGGATTGTGCCCCCCCTGCCAAGTCAGAGGCCACCTGATTTTGCCCTGGAGACTTGCCTGCTGTGCCTTTGAGTGACGCTCGGCCCGACGTCTGCGGGCCGCTGCCTGGCTTTTGTCAGTAAACAGACTCTCTGTTTAGTCCAGCCCTGGGCCTTCTGTTTTCTGTTTCCGTCTGTCGGCACCCTGCCACGCACAGGGGTGCTGGGGCCCCTGCAGAATCCTCAGCATGGGACTCCGCCTGCTGGGTTCTGGGGGAACCGTGGCATGGGTCCTCCTTCCTCCCATGTCCACAGTCATCAGACGGTAGGGGCATCTGTCCATCCTGTGAGGCACCTGCCAACCTCAGCCCTGAAGCCCTGACCCTTGGCCGCTGGTGGAACAGACATGACTCACACCCACCAGGGCTGCCCTGCAAGGGCCCACACTGGCCAGGGAAGCCCCAGACGCGAGGGGCGGGTGTCCTTTGTCTCCGTCTCCGCCTGTTTGACGGCTCAGGATGTGCCTGTTTACGGAGCAGATTTATTCCTGGAACGTTCTGGGCTCTGTGACCTTCAGCACACACCACGGCCTTGGAGAAGGGCGGTGGGAGGGAGGGTGCAGCTGGTGATGGGCGGGGGCATGAAGCCGTTATTACCGGTGTCACTGCTCCGTGTCACGGCTGTGGGCCTGTGGGAGGCTGGGGGCGCTCACATTGTTCTTGCTGCCTCGATTACCCCCTGTCCTTTCCCTCACGGACAACCCTCCATTATCCATCCCCACCCAGGCCGCTGCCACTTTGGGAGCCTGTCCCCTCCTGTGGGGCACCAGGGCCACAAGCTGGCCATCTCTGTGGTCTTCGAGATGCAGGGGACAGTTTGGTGTGCCTGGCTGGTTCCTGGGGGACTTGGGGCCGGAGGCCTGAGTGCTGCCTAACTCCTCTCTAACCCCTCACTTTTTGGATGAGGAAACAGGCTGAGAGCACTGGGCTGGCTGAGCCTTCCCCAGCCCCCACCTCCAGCATCATTGCACCCACCCAGGGTGAGGCTGAGGGAGGCATCCCTGGGTCCCATTGCTGTGCTCCAGTTAGTGGTCTTTGGGGGATGAGGTGCTGGGGGCTGCTCCTGACCGCTGAGGTTCTCAGAGCCTGCGCGCTCAGACCTGTGGGCCCACAGGCCGCTTAGCACCTGGTGTTCTCTCAAAATGGGTGTCCCAGACCCCTCTCCTCCCCTGCCGCCAGCCGCACCTGCCTTCCTGCATCCACCTCTGATTCCCAGTAGCCAGGAGAGGCAGTGCCCAGTCCCAGCCCTCTGTTCCAGCGCTCGCTCACCCTCCCTGCCCTTGCATGTGGTCTGCCTGGCACGCTGGGGCCTCCTGGCCACTCCAGCCAGCTCCTGTGCCCACATGTCCCCGATGTGGCAAGTAGGTCCAATGCTGTCCAAGATATTCTCAGGGCGATACTCTGCTAGCCTCTCCTTTGGGGTGACCTGTCCCTCTACACACCAGCTGAGACATGTCTCCACTACCTGTGGACAGCACTGGCTAGCTGTGGTGAGGTCCACCCCTGGTCTGTGAGCCCTCAGCTACCCATCACTCCCACCTGCCATGCTCAGGGTCAGCCCTTGGCTGCCATGATGCCCCAGGACTGGCCATCTGCTGGGGGATGGGCACAGTGGACATGGCCCACCAGGGACTGTGGCTGACCCAGGGAGCTGACGGGCCTGGACACTCCTGCCCTGGGAGAGCAGCACCCTGCCCACAGCCCCACCCTCCGTACACCCCGACACGACAGCCATCACTGAGCAGACTTTATTTTGTAGGGAAACTGAGAAACAGTACCTGCTGGGCTGACATGAGCGATAAATACATGTACATTCAAATATGCAGCACCCAGCCACCCTGCCTGCCCACCAAGTGCATCTGCCGGGCAGAGTTGGCCCATAGCGGCCACAGGGCAGGCTCCAGGCTGGCACCATCCTAGGCATGGGGGCTGGAAGGGCAAGGGTCTGACTCAGGGTCTACCAGGCAAGGTGTGGGGTCTCCTCTGAGCCCGGTGCTCCCAAGCTCCATCTCTCCACTTCAGCCTTGGAGGGCCCCCTGACACTGTCAGTCCAGCTCTGTATGCCCACTGGGTGGCCCAAGTCTAGCCCTGGACTAAGGGCCTTTGAAGAGCTGAAAATGTTGCTGGACATACTCTTTAAGGGAGAGCCTACAGCCCGTGGAGGCCAGAGGGCTGGACCGGGGGCCTTGGTGCGTACCACTTCTCCCCACACGGCCAGGCAAGGCTCCTCTGTCCTTGCAGCCTTCTGGCCAGGTACAGGGTGGAGGGGAGCAGGGGCCCAACACAGTGGCCTTGGTCACCCTCTGATGGCCTCAGGAGCCCAGCTCTTTCCAGGACAGGCCCCAGGGTGCAGGAGAGGCTTCTGATGAACCAGGGGCTTGGAAGGCTCCATCAGGGTCTTCACATTTTGCAGGGGATCTGGTCCGAACATAGAGGGTGTGGGAGGGCATGGGGGGCTGGGCAGCACCAGGACCTGGACATGCTGAGGCCTGGCTGGACAGGGCAGTGGGCCTGTGGGAAGCCAAGTACCAGGCAGGATACGGGGTCCATATGCCCTTGCCCATCCCAGGAGCCCTGAGTACCCCAGCTCGCCATCAGGGAGGGGGCTCGTGGAGTCATGGCACCCCACCTGGCTCAGCAGGAAAAGCTGGGGTGGCCCAGAGCTTGGCCGCAGAAAGGCGTGGCTTCTTGGGGTCCGAGGGCATTGGTGGGTGATGTGAGCCCTGAGTTCGGGAGGGGCAGGGGGCTCGCCCGCTCCGGGAGGAGGCCTTAGCTGGCACCAGGCGGGCCCTGCTGCTGCGGCTCGGGTGGGCTGGCGGCCTCCGGCTCGGGGCTAGCTGCAAGGTCCACCCGCTGCTCATCCATGCGCTTGGCCTGCACCCTCTGGATGAGGCTGAAGAAGTCCTCATCTGGCATGGTGGGCCCTCGGGGCAGCATGGCAGGCGGTGGGCAGCGCTGGTCATCGATCCTGGAAGACTGGGCAGACAGGGCAGAGTTGGTGGCCGCGGAGGCCCTCCGAGGTGTGTTCCGTGGGCTCAGGAACTGTCATGTCTGCTCAGCGGGGCTGTGGTGAAGCTCGGCCAGCTTCAGGGCTCGAGGGGTGCTTGACCCGAAAGGCTCAGTGTGGTGAGCAGAGGACAAGCAGCCTCAGAACTGCCCCCGACACAGCCACCCTGGGCAGGTGGGGGCCGCAGCTCAGGGACCACCCCTCGGGTCAGGTGGCGGGCGCCAAGCCAGGCGGCTGGTGCAGGGCCCTGAGCAGGCTGTGAGGGAGCCGGCGCAGCCGCTGGACGATGCGTGTGGGTGGAGGGTCCTGGGGGCAGGCCCGTCGTCCCCTCTGTGGGAACACAGTTTTCTGCAGACCTCACCCGCAGGTACAGCCCAGGTCTTCTGTATCAGTGCCCACCTGCCCCTCAGCCCCGCCCCACCTGTGGGGGTACCTGTGCCCTGTCTCCCTCCCCTCTGCCCAGGGCACCCAGGCTTCCCAGGACTCGGGCACTCTCCACTTACAGGCCTCAGCCCTGAGCAGGCTCCAGACCAGCTGTGGGCTCCCAATCCTTGGGGCTTCCTGGCTGTTTCCTGCTGGGCACTCGCTAGGCCTGCCTCCTGCGCATTCAGCTTTGAGCCCCCTTGACCCTTCTGCTTCTAGGGAGGCAGCCGTATCCAGGTGTGGCTAAGACGCCAGCCTGAGGCCTCCGACTGCAAGTGGAGGGCACAGTGGCCCTCAGGTGGCTGGGTGCTTCAGCCTACCTGGCACTTGATGAGCATGTTGAAGAACTCGTCCCCTGGCTCCTGCGGGTCGCTGTCCCCACGCAGGTGGCCCAAGTTGTTGTGGGTGATGCGGAGCCCTGGCAGACTGCCCACGCTTGCCCGCTGGTCATCCAGCCGGCGGCTCTGAGAGCTGGCAATGAGGTCGAAGAACTCCTCGGTCTGCGGGGAGGCTGTTAGAGAGGACTGGGCTGCGGGATGGAGGGTGTGGTCAGCGAGGGTCCAGGCAGGGGGGAGAGTGAGAGTGGGGGACAGGGGACAGGCAGGCCAGCGTGGGTCCAGGGAGCTGTGCTCCACACCCCTTCATGGCTCAGTGACACCCCCCGCCTGCCCACCACGTCCTGCGGGCTGCCAGCCCCAGGTCGTCGGTGATGGGGGCCTGACAGTTCTGGAGCTGACGGTAATTACACACTTGTGCAGGAAGCAGCATGATGTGGACTTGGGCTCAGCGGGGAGGGCAGGCATCTCTGGTGACAAGGGGCTCCCGGCGGGGATTGCAGGCCGAGGCCTGTGCCCTGACCCTGTGGGCCGGGGCTGGCTGGGGCTCACCGATGCGCTCTTCCAGCGTTGGGGTGGCGCCGGGATGGCTGTCCTCCAGTGGGCAGCGCTGGTCATCCATCCGGCTGCTCTGGGACTTGCTCAGGAGGTCGAAGAAGCACTCCTCATCCGAGGACGGGGCCCGAGGGAGACTCTGTGAGCAGAGGCTCATCAGTTCCCTGTGCTGGTCCCCCGCACCCGCACCCCAGCCCAGAACAACGGCCTCACCACCTGGTCACTCGGCTCAGTGGCCAGACCTGGCTGAGGACGCGGTGGCAGCAGACAGCTGGGCTGTCCCGGGCAGGGGCTACTGGACTTGCTGAACCCTATCCCCGATGCTGCCACCAGGCCCTGCCCAGCCCTGGGGGTCATAAGTTGGGGTGAGGAGAGAGGGGAGGTCAGTGTGCTGGGCCTGCAGGCCTGCACCTGCCACCAACAGGTGGGGACATGGAGGGGAGACACCACCCAACCCAGGTTCCAAGGGGCCGTGGTGTCCTGCGGCCCCACCTGCCCAGCTGGGCAGGAAAGGTGAATGCTGAGAGCCCAAGGGGCTGGGGCCCCACAGGTCAGGTGTGGGCAGGCAGGAGAGGTTTCCTCTACATCTAGCGGATGGAGGTCTCCTGGGAGCACAAGGGCCAGCCAGGTGGGGTGGACATAGATGTCCCCATGTCTGGCTGGAGCTGGCTTCATCTAGGTGCCCGTCCCAGGAATGGAGAGGGCCCAGGGACCCAGTCTTTGCCCCGAATCCTGGCTCCTTCTTTCCAGAGGGTCTCCTGGTCCTTCCTAAAGTCTGGCTCCAGTGTCCTGCTTTCTCAGTGCCCTCGGGTCCCAGCCAACACAGAGCTGCCTCGGTGGTGGGTTCCAGGATGGTCAGTCACACGGAGACTGCCCTCCTGTCCTGCAGCGTGCTGGGATGGTGAGCAGCTCAGCTCCCTTGTGCACGAGTTTATGGCGACTCCTGTTGGCCGAAGTCACACTGACCCCTCCCGGAAGCCTGGTCGGCCAGGACAGGGACAGAGATGGCTTGGCCATGTGCCCACCCCTCTGACCAGCCACCCACCCCTGACAACCCAGCCTGATGACCACTAACCCTGCTGGCTGCTCACCCACTCCCACTGCCCCCTACCCTGCCGACCACTCATCTGACCTAGACACACTTACTGCCTGATTTCTCCCCACTCGCTCTCCCCAGTCCTCAGCACCCCCAAGCTCACCCCTAGTGGGGCTCTGAGGCCCAGAAGGACAACTCTGCAGGCTGACCAGTGAGCACTCCCCGAGGGGCCCCCACTCACACCGGGTCGCGGGGCCCGCCTCACCGAGGTGGCCGGGAGTTAGCATGGGACCCTAGGCAGGACGCCAGGAGCCAGGCACCTCCGCACCGCGGCCACGGTTCTCTGCAGGGACCCACGAGCAGTGAGGAGCCCACAGCTTAAGTAGCGGCGTCTGGACCAGGGCCCTCCCAGTGCCCGCCCTCCCTCCAGTGCTCCGCGGGGCGGGGGAGCGCCCTCGTGCACGCACACACACACCCCCATGCTCGTCAGACACTGCTCTGTACCCTGAGCAGCATGTCAGGCTGAGCAAGCGGGCACAGGGGATGGGACCCCGTAGCTCCTCTCCCAGGCAGCCAGCCCAAGAGAAGCCCCCATCCCCTGCACCAGGGCAGGGGCTACAGGCCCCAGCGAGGAGCGGCTACCATCGGGCAGCTGGCCTCAGTTACAGCATCTCCTGGCTTCCATGGGGAACGGAGGCTGCTGGGCACCCCGATGGCCTCCCTGACCACTGCTGCCATTTCTGACACCTTCACTCCCACAAGTGATGACAGGTGGGCTGAACGGAGACAGGCACGCCTGCCACTCACTCCCCACGCTTACAGCGCTGGCAGATGAGGGAGGCCCCCCACGTGGCTCCTTTTGGGGGAGACTTTAAAAATAACCCTCCTGCAGGGAGGCGGGTGCAGCTGGGGGTACAGTGAGTCATGGAAAATCAAGTCCCCAGGAAGCTGTTGGTGTAGGCACTGCCTCCCAGAGCCCAAGGCCATGTTTCCCCAACCAGGGGGTGCAGGTTGCAGGGTCTGCAACCCAACTACTATGGGCACCTGAGCTGCTGTCTGGACCCACCAGCCTTCCCAGCTCCTTGTGTCCGTGGCGGGGGACGGGACGGGACTGGACAGCCCTGGATCGCTGTGACCACAGGTTGGCCCTCAGTTCTGCGGGACGATGGGTGAGCAGGCCTCAGATCTCTGCCCCAGCTGAACCCTGCCTTCATGGTGCCGCACGTACCATACGAGGCACCTGCACCCGGACGTCAGCGCTGTCCAGTGGGGAAGGGCCGCCCTCCCGGGGCCTCCGCTCTGCAGCCTCCGGCCCCTCCTGATACTTCCTACTCCTTACTGGCAGGGGGAGCGTGTCCCGGCCCGGCCCCCACCAGTTCCCTGCGTGGTGGCTGTCACCATTTTGCTCCTGGGAAGAGAAGGCCAGACATGGGAGCCTCTAGCCAGCCCCAGAATGTCCCCACACCCTGCATGGACTATGTCCTGGGGGACACAAACGGGGCAGGAGTGCAGGCCCATGAGGACACTGAGTGGGCGCCCCCTGTTTGTACGCGAGCTGCTCAGTCCCCTGGACACACATTGCTTCTGGCCTGAAGTCAGAGCCAGCCCAGGATCCCCAGGCCGCCACATCCTGACCGGGCCATTATCTCCATGTGACAGCTGTACCCTGTCCAGGAATAAGGGGCCCAGTGAGCAGTGTGGCTGTCCCCGGCCATCAGTCTGCCAGGAAGCTGGCCACTCAGCAGCTGGCAGCGGGGGGAGCGGGCACTGACAGGTGTGCAGGGCAGAGGCCTGGAGGGACAGGCAGGAAGAGTGCAGGGCGTTCAGGTGTGAGGGCCTGTGTGGTCATGATGGGGCACAAGGCACTGAGCCATTATGCTCCGGCCCATTACCCCCACGCCTTGACGCAGCCTCTGACCGCACCCAGGTGCCCCAGCTGCCAGAGCCACACTCACCCGCTCCAGGGGGGGCCTCAGAAGGTCCCAGGTCTCTGCACTCAGCCGCTGTGTCCTCTTGGGCCTGGCCCCTGGAAGACAGCAGGGCGGTCAGCCAGTGCCCACCTTTATGCACCTTTGTCCCCACACTAGCCCAGTTCCCACCCACCTGGTGGGGCCCAGCTCAGGCCACTGGCCACCAGGGCCCACAGGATGACCCGTATGAGGTCTGGCGGTGACGGTACCTTGCACACCCTTTGTTAGTCCTCCTTCCACACATGCCCTGAGGGTTTCGCCTCCAGCTCCAGTCCCGGCTCTCAACATCCCTGCCCTGTGCCCGGCCTCCTTGCACCGTCCCTCTGCACCCTTAGAGCCTGGCCTCAGCCTCCATGAAGCCCCATGGCCTCCCCTGCCCTGTCTTTGGGGGCCTCGCTGGATTCTTGACTTGCAGGCTGTGTGGACTCCTGGCCATGCTGCCCTGCCCACTGCGAGCCCAGGCTGGGTGGGAGGCAGCAAGGGGAGACGGACGTGGGAGGAAAGATGTTTCAGAAGAATCCTGAGGCCACCCCCCCCCATGACATGAGGGTAGAGGGTAGGATGACACTGGCACTGAGAACCCCTGCATCTGGACACACTCAACGGGGTGCCTACTGGGCGTAGTGGAGCCCACAGCCCCAGAAGTGTGTGTAAGGAGACCCCCAAAAGAGACTGTGTGAAGAAACCCCAGGAAAGAGACAGCGGGAGCTATCTGGAGAGAGACTGGGGAGAGGGGACCCCAGGAGCGGGACATGGGGGGAGATGCTGGAAGAGAGATGTTAGAGGGAGACCCCAGGAGAGGTACGTGGAGGAGGAGAGGGAATCCTAGGAGAGGGCATGGAGGAGGACCCAAGGAGAGGGACTAGGGGAGAGGAGGCCTCAGAAGAGAGACATGGAGGAGGGGTGACGCCAGGAGAGGGACATAGAAGAGGGAAACCCTGGAAAAGGAACTAGGGAGGAGGAGACCCCCAGGAGGAGGGGGACCCCAGGAGGACTGGGGGAAGAAGGGGACCCCAGGAGAGGGACTGGTGGAGAGGGCAGAAGCGGGGCACACCAGAAGAGTGTGGCAAGAAGGCGTCAAGATTTGAGAGAGGACCTGATGGTGGAATGAGTTGGGGTTCAGCTTCTAGCACCCCTACCCATAGCCGCCATGTTCTCCACAGACATGAGACAGGTCGTGTTCCGCGAGGAGGAGAGGGGTGCAGGGGTCACCTGGTGTCCTGCGGGAGCTCCAGGCCTGAAGTGATGCTCTCTAGATTTCAGGAGCAGGACTGACGGCCTGGCAGAGACAGGCTAGGGGCCGTGTCTTCCTCCTTGTCCTGCCTTCCGTCTCTGAGGAACCACACCTGACTCCTGTGCTCAAATGGCCCAGAAATGAAGCTGCCGGCGCAGAGTGTCCCAGGCACTCATCCAACGGCCGCCAGGCGCTCCTGGGCTACTGATGCAGTCCTGTGTCCAGTGCATACCCGGTGCTGACCCTCCAGCCCCAACATGGAGGCCTCAGGCCTCCCTGGACAAGGGGTCATACCAGCTGATCTGTCCTGAGACCACCCCCTCTCCTCTCAGCTGCCACATTCTGCCTGAAGTGGGTACCATGTCTGAGACGGAGGTACTCGGGTACCTGCCCAGGTCCAGCTCTGAGGCTGAAGGACCCAGGATGGTCTGGGAACAGGCTGCCATCTCTGGGGGATGCCCGTTGCCTGCCTGGGTTAGGAAGGCAGCTCTTGAGAGTAAGGACGAAATGGGAGATTGTTCCAGAATCAGGCGGGCGTGATCGACCCCAGGCCCCCCCCCCACCGGGGAGCAGTGGAGGTACTGGAGCACCTCCTACTCACCACACCCAGGCAAAGTCCACCTCCTTGCCTGCCATGTGACCTAGCGCATGACTCAGTTTCCCCACCTTGCCTTGAGTTCCGGGGACGCTCACTGATGGCTTCTGTCTTGCCTGAGCCTCCAACACAACATAGTGTGGTGACCGGTGACTCGGCCATCAAAATGCACCCTCTGTTTGGGACCGGACCGGAGTGCTCCTACTGCCCTGTGGCCTGACGGGACAGTGCCTGCCGCCTCCAAGGTCAAGGTCTGGAAGCATCTCTGGGCACCACCCCCAGGTCTGACCTCTCATCGCATTGTCGTCACTGTTCCTGTCACTGGTCCAGCACTGGACGTGTGTGGCCAGCTGCCAACTGGTCCCCACTGCCAGGAGCCCCAGCAGGCACCTTCAAGAGCCTCACCCGTGCTTACACCCCACCTGCAGCTAGTCCATTCTGAGGTTCAGTCCACATGGGCCCCGGAGCCAACAGTCAGTCTATATAGCCCCCTAGAGTCAGCGGTCAGTCCACACGGCCCTCTAGACCAGCAGTCCGTCCACATGGGCCTCCAGAGCCAGCAGCTTAGGCCATATGCCCTACACCCTTGGTCACACACCGGTAAAACCTCCGGCTCTCGAGCCTTGTCCCCTCACCTCTCCTGCTCTACCCTCAGACCGACCCAGCACCAGAGCCTTCCCAGCTCGCTGTCCCCCGGCCCATCACCTCATCTTCCTCACAGCACCTGCAGCCCCCTACTCGCCCATACAGGTTCTCCACTTCTGGCCCACAGGCTAGTCCCCACCGGCCCACTTTGGTCACTCTGTAGCCCACACCTGTTGGTCTCGGGCCCCTGCATCCTTGCTATGAAGCAGGGGGACTGTGTCTGTCCTGAAGCTGAGGGGCTGGGCCTGGGAAGGGCCAGTGGAGAGCAGAGCAAGGCAGTGACCCCTCAAGCACCCAGACACATGGAGGAGACTCTGATCGGCCAAGGGCCAAGCTCAAGAGGAGGGGCAACGATCAGGGCTGAAAACTGCAGCGGCCCCCGCTGTCCTCAGCCGCAGAAAAGGCCCCTCCACATTAGGACAAAGGAATGCTTGAGACCTGGCCTCTAGCTGGCCACGCCCTCAGCCCACCTCACTACACTCCCCTGCGACCTCCTCCCCTCACCTGGGGCCCATTCAGATGCCAGCAGAACTACAGGTGGGACCAGAAACCCCTCCTGCTGCCCCGCTGTGATGACAGGCTCTGGTTGTGCTCTGTACCCCTCCCTTTTTAGAGGTCCCCACTCAAGCTTAGTGAATGAACGTGTGTGTCCCCCTAGAGTTGGTCATCAACCCACTGCCCTTGGGACAATCGAGGTCCCGCCAGAAGGCTCACCTGAGGAGGGCCCTTCTCCAGGGCCCCCGGGCGCTCGGGTTGGGCCTCTGTCCGGCAGCCACATCCCAGGGGCCACTGGGGTCCCGAGCCGGGATGGCCAGTCCCACCTCGCCTGCACTCAGCCGGCCTCCCGGGACACTTCTTCTCAATGTCCACTGGTGGATGGCAGCTGGCAGCCCACGCCTACAGGGAGGGGACTTCCGGGGGCTGCCGTCCAGAGCCCCCCTGGCCAGGAAGGGTCCCAGCAGGCAGGCGGCAGAGCGGAGGAGGCGGTAGAGGAGGACAGAGCGGCCTTGTCCCAGCGCAGCAGGGCCTTGCCTGCCTTGGCCCCCCTTCCCTGGCGCTGACGGCCTGGGGCAACTTCCCAGCCTTTGCCTGCCCCACCCCCCTGCCTGTGGGGCCCCCAAAGGGTGGCAGCGCTGGGGCGATGAGCCAGCCCTCTCAGTGGGCACTGGGGGTGCTGGGCAGTTACCTCTCCTCCGACAACCCCACTGGGTAAGTGAGCATGCCAGCAAATCCTGGGCCCTGCTGTCTCAGTGCCCTCTCTGCTGTCTCAGCACAGGCATGTCAGAGACCGTCCAGCATGCCCACAACCAGCGCAGCGGCCACTTGGAATGTGGGCAGGAGGTGGCCACTGAAGACCAGGGGCTGCCCCAGCGGAGGGGGCATCCGAAGAAAAGCAAGGGGCAGACCAGCTCCCTCAGCCACTGCGAAGATTCCAGGACTCACCCTCAGAGACCACTCCCACGCTAGAGACCCACCCCCACTCTAGAAGCCACGAAGGGGCCCAGGATCAGGCCCCACACCAGGTGCCAGGACGGGCCTTGGGACCCCCTTCCATTTGTGTGAACCTCTTAGGGTCTCATGGTCCAACTTCACGTTAGGCATCACCAGGGTCCCCCGGACCCACCCTCATACTGGGGACCATGGAGGGTCCTGAGACCCACTGCACATTTGGCATCAGCTCCCTGGCCTTGTTCTTGGCTGAGGGTCTGGGAGGAAGGACAGACCAGTACCCCGCTCAGAAGGGCCTCCATAGCCTTGTCCCTCTGCCCTGCGAGGCCTGCACTGGCTGCAGAGTGACAGAATCACCCCGCGGCCACTCCACCACCCCAAGGTTAAAACTCCGCACAACCCCTGCCCTTCTAAACAAGACATGGGGCCCCTGGCCTTCCTCCTTCTCAGCGTCCCACCCTCATGTGACACCATCGTCCTCCTTGGGCCCAGCCCCACTCCGGGGGACCCTCAGGCAGGAGGGGAACAGTGCTGGTCCTTCAAAGGGGGGGCTAAGCAGAGGGGCAGGGGTGGAGAGGACCACCTCCCCTTCCTGTCTGGCAGCCCCACCCTGCATGCCTGTCCTGTCTGGCCTATGATGCCCTAACCCTGCACCCACAGTTCCTGAAGCATGGCTGGGGCCCACCCTGCCCAGGCGGCACCCGTCAAGTCACCACTGTCCCTGTCAACTGTTGAGAGCCTCCTCGGACCTCACACCCAGTTCCTGTGCTGTCCCCAGCTCAGGTCAGCAACCCCGTAGGCCCGCCCACCTGCCCAACCGGCCCAGCCTTGCCCACCCAGCCAGACCCACCTTGGGCCTCGTAGCCAGCCAGGTCGGGCTTCTCCGCGGCCGCTGGGCTAGTTAGCCGGCCCAGGACCAGCTGCAGCTGTGCCAGGTTCATGCGGGCTGTGAGCTCCCCGCTGCGGTCCCCGATCTGCATCCAGAGAGGTGGGGTGAGGGACGCCAGGGTTGTACTCTGAGCCCTCAGACACACTGGACGTGGGCAGGGCTGTGCTGCCCCTCTGTTGCTCCCTCTGTCGGTGGTGTGTGCCACTGACTCGGAATTGACCCATCGCTGACCCGCCAGCAGGTTTTCAGAGGCAGTAAATCACATGGGAGGAGACTGCACATCCTCCTGTGGGGCGGCTGGTGGATTCGAACCGTGTGCCTTTGGGATTGCAGCTCAGCTTCTTACCATTAGGCCTCCAGAGCTTCCTAGTGTCCACTGAGGCCCCCGTTACATCTTTTGAACAAGTCTAAGCCTGTATCATCCCAGAGTGGACACTTGGGGTGCAGCCAGCCCCCCTCCAAAGATGAAGCCTGTCCTCTCCCCAGAGCCCATTCCTCTCTGCTGGAGCACAGCCCTGGATGATGGGAGGTCCTGGGGGAGCACTCTGGAGACCCCGCACCATCCCCTAAGGGAAAGGCTAGGTCTGGGGAGCAGGAAAGCGTCCTGCCTGCCTCAGCTGACTGTCCATCAGGAGAGATGGGTCAGCCTGCGTGGACGCTGATGCTGCAGAGACAGGAGACTCCCACCTGCAGGCTGGGAGGACACAGCGCCCCACGCCGGCCCCAGTGGAACAGCAGCTGTGAGACCTCAGGGGGGAAGGTGTTACTCGGAGAGAGTCCGAGGTGGGGACAGAGGACCCAGGAGGTCTGGAGAGGAGCCTGTGGGGGCAGGGGTGTCCGACTCACCTCCTGTGAGATCTCCAGGTGCTTCTTGGCGAAGGTCAGCGCCTGGGCAGGGCTCCCCATGGACACGTAAGCGTTCCCCAGACTCCAGCACGCTCGGCCCTCACCCACTCTGCAGGGCAGGGAGACGAAGTCCACACCTGCATCCCTCAGCCCCCACGCCTGGGACCCTGGCAAGGCTGCGTGCCCCCGTGGTCACCAAGGAGCCCCAACCCTGAGGGCTATGGATGCGATGGTGTGTTCCCCAACTGTGGTGACCACCTTGCCAAGCCTATCCAGTCCTCCTGCATGCAGGGCAGGGGGTGCCCCAGGCAGGTCAGGGGAGGGGATGGCCTGG